ATGCGGGCTCAGTGTCTAGTCCAGGCTGGGCAGCTGAGCCCCAATCCCCCAGGGCCAGGGATGCAGGGGACTTGAGAAGCCTGACTCTGTATCATCTCCTACCAACGGCACCCTTGGCAGCTGTGAGAACTCACTGCTTTGGGGAGTCCTGATCTGGCTGTGCCAGGTGGGCACTGAGGAGGAAGAGGATGGCTGGGAATGAGAAGAGGTAAAGGCAATTCTGGCACATCCTCCCTAGCTGCCTCTATCCTCTAGGCTGCATGTGACCACATCTTGTCTCCATGGGAGCACTGCATACCTGACCCTCCACCTCCCTAACCCTGCCCCTGCTTTTCTGTCCCCTCTCCTCTCTACCAGAAACTGGACAGCTTTCATTAAGTACAATTAGGAGTAGTGAGACAGACCTGCTGATAAACGCTATAAACCCAGTGGCTCAGGAGGCTGAGGCAGGAGGATCAAAAGTTCAAAGCCAGCCTCAGGACTTATCAAGACCATAAGCTACTTGGTGTGACCCTGTCCCATGAGAAAAAAAGTTTGTAACAGGACGAGGTATGTGGCTCAATGGTTAGAGCCACTAGGTTCAATCCCAGTTACTGGAAGAAAAATGAGTTTTGAGCAATGGTACCTTCTGTTGTTTGCTGGGACATGGGATGGGGAGAACGAGGTGTGGGGGGGGCCACTGGCCCAACCATGTGTCCAGCATCCCCCTACCTATCCCTTCTGAAACCCATTCCCCAGCTTACCTCTGAGGACAGACTATTCTGGGATGGCTCAGGAGACTCATACCCATGACTCAGAGCCCCTTGACCTCCAGTGCCCAGGGAGACTGGATTTTAATACAAACAATAAGAGAAAAGGCTGAGGAGGAGCTGGGGAGCTCCCTTACATGGAGCCCTGAGGCTCTTGTGCCCCAGCCCCTTCGTGTCTGTCTCTGGAGGCCCCTCAAGCCCAGGGAAAGAAGCACCTGTGGGGCCATTCAGCATCTGTGAGCAATGTCTCTGAAGTCACTCAGGAGCCATGAAGCAGGGACTCACTTCTTCCTAGAACTATTAGGCTCCAACATAATTTTTCTTTCCTATCCCATGCTGCCTCAAAACAGCCTTCCTTGCTCTGCTCCACCCCTATCCCTTTGCCCTGCCCACTCAGCACTCTGGACTTGCCCTGCTCTCAGAGCCTGCGGTTCCAGAAATGCCTGAGGCTGCTCTGCCATGAGCCCTGGAATTTTATGAAACGACCACCCAAGAGCCAGCAGGAAGGTGAGTGGCCCCATTTTCCCCTCCCCTCCCTTGTCGTGATCTGTTAGAAAAAGCCATCTGTTAACCTTCCCTGCAGGGACAAAGTTTGGGGAGCCCTGCAGGAGCCAGATCAGAGCTGAGGGACCATCTGACCCTTGGGCTCTTTCTCTTCATTTCAGTTCTGTTGTTTCCTGTAGGTTAAACACACAGGTTGGATTTTAACACAGATGTGTGTCTGGATCCAGTTGAATGAAAAGGATGGTAACCCTGATGTACCCATGCCTAAACCCCACCTTCCTTCCAGAGGATAGGCATTCCCAGGACTGGCTCCTCACCTGTCCCACTGTGGACCCACAGAAAACAGCTCTGCAGTACCCACTCCACACCTCCACCAATCCCCTGCGTGCCCAGGAGGACACAAGCCTGGGTCCCTGCTCTGCTCCTGCTCCAACATCTTTCAGGTGCTCCTTTCACTTGATCGGGCACCTATTTGATCCCTTGACTGGGATTCTACCTCCCAGTTCTTTTCCCATGGACCACACATCTCAATAGACACCTCCAGCATGGCCCACGTCCCCTTCCCCTCTTTTTCTGAGTGATCAGTTTTGCTCATTCACATGCAAGGCTGGCCCACCAGCCAAGTTCAATTGCTCAATTGTCCTGTTTATCCTGGAGCCAAGATGGAGCTTGGTAGGCAAGTGGGATCCCAGGCCTGGCTGGCCTGAGGTGTTTCCAGATGTGAAGGGCCCAGGGACTCAAGAGGGGAACATCACAGATGAGCCCACTGGGGCTGTGTCTCAGCAGGGAAGGAAGAGCAATGAGCTGCATGTTAAGAGTTAGGATGGGCAGGGCAGCTAGTGCACGGCCGATGGGAGAGGACTTGACTAGCATGCAAGAGACCCTGGGTTCCACCCTCAGCACCACAGAAAATACAAAAAAAAAGGAAAAACAAACAAAAAAGGAACAGGCAGACCCTGCAGGAATTTCTCAACTGCTGAAGAAATCACTAGAATCACTGGGAGAGCTTCCAAATCTGGGTATCTGGACTCCAACCCCTGATATTGCTAACATTACTCTGGGCTGTGAGAAGGCACTGGGGCAGTGTTCTGCAAGTAATAAGAAGGTGCAGCCTGAGCTGTGAACCATGGCACTGGAGTTAAACCTTCCTTCCAATCCCAGCTCCCCACTTAGTAGTTTAGAGAAGCTGGGCAAATCACAGGACACCCTGCAGCCTCAGTGTCCTCATCTCAAAGCAACAATCCAGCAAATGCTGTTTTGTGAAAGGATTCAGAGAAGCAGAGCAGGCGCTGGTCCCTGACTCAGCAGCATGGAGCTGGTCCAGGACACCTTCCGTTCTCCACTGGTCAAGGTGAAGGGGGTCCCACTCATCAAGTACTTTGCAGAGATGGTGGGACCAATTCAGAGCTTCCAGGCTTGGCCTGATGATGTGCTCATCAGCACCTACCCCAAGTCTGGTAAGTGAGGAGGGTCACCCTGCTCCCCCACTGGGGCTGCAGTCCCCACCTTGGTCACCAGGGCCCAGCCCTCCATCCTGCTCACATCTGCTTCTCTCCCTTTCCAGGCACCACTTGGTTGAGCGAGATACTGGAGATGATCTATCAGGGTGGTGACCTACAGAAGTGTCACCGGGCACCGATCTACATGCGTGTACCCTTCCTTGAGTTCAACGGCCCAGGGGCTCCCTCAGGTGAGTAGCAGGGTGTTGGGGCAGGTGGTATTAGGAAGACGGGGCACCAGCTCACCACAAGTTCCCCTGCCCACACCTTAGGTCTGGAAATTCTGAAAGATACACCTGCCCCTCGGCTCCTCAAGACACACTTGCCCCTGGACCTGATTCCCCAGAGTCTGTTGGATCAGAAGGTCAAGGTGAGTGGCAGCAGAGGCCACTAGGCCATTCCAGTGTTGGTCCTGTTCTGCAGGAAAAGTCTCTTCAAGCTTTGTCTCTGCACAAGTGGGAAGGCCACCTGCCCTCACTGTGGCAGGGCCAAGACGAGGAGGAGAGGGAGACCCTTCAGTGCAGACCTGAGGGCAGGGAGCCTGGTGCTCAGAGGCTCACAGAGAGGCTGGAGGGTCCCCTGCCTGCCTTGTTCTCCATCTGGGTGTGTGGTGGAATCCCAGGGGTGAGATAGGATGAAGTATGGCATCAGGGACCAGCCAGGAGTCTCCCATCAAAGCTGAGTTCAGATCCCAGCTGCCATAGCCATCCCTGAGGTCTCCAGCAAGTCAGCCTCAAGGCCTCAGCGTGTTCCCTCGTCAAGCTTAGAGGGAACCCCCCACAGGGGTGCTGTGAGGGGGCCAGGCAGCCAGGAGGGAGGCAGTCCTGGGGTGTTGCGTGGGGTGGTGTAGCTGGCAGGGGGTGTGATGTGTCCCTACAGGTGATCTATGTTGCCCGCAATGCAAAGGATGTGGCTGTCTCCTATTACCACTTCTACAAAATGGCCAAGGGGCACCCTGACCCTGGCACCTGGGACAGCTTCCTGGAGAAGTTCATGGATGGACAAGGTGGGCCCCAATCTGGAGGAAAGAGAGGGCTGGAGTTTAGGAAGCCCACCTGAAACTCATACCATACCCTGCTGGTCCCTTCCCCAGTGTCCTATGGGTCGTGGTACCAGCACGTGCAGGAGTGGTGGGAGCTGAGCCGCACCCACCCTGTGCTCTACCTCTTCTATGAAGACCTGAAGGAGGTGAGACTGCCTGCCACTGCTTCCTTCCATGTCCCACCCAGGGGACTGGAACCTCAGGGTTCCTGACAAGGCCCAGGACCCTCCCCTTTGAAAGGCCCAACCAGCCCAGGGTTGCCCACACTGCCTTCCTGGCATGGAACCACAGAGCCAGCCCAGCTCAGACCCAGCACAGCCCTCATCTCCTAGCACATGGCTCAGCTGCACTTGTCCGGGGCTCTGCCAACCCTGGGGCCTATTTCCTGAAAAAAGACTTTCCCTGCCCTGTCTCATAAGATACCAAGCAGGGCTCAGTCCTGGACCCTAAAAGGAGTGGGTCCAGGGAAACAGGCCCAGAGTGAAGCAGCTGGGGCTGAGAGGTTTCCAAGTGGAAGGGCCAGCTCCCTCGGGAAACCAGAGAGGGGATTTCTGTTGTGTATCCTCCTTAAGAAATCCAAGCCCCTCTGAAGAGCCTATGCCTTGCTTCAGAACCCCAAAAGTGAGATTAGAAAGATCCTGGAGTTTCTGGGGCATTCTGTGTCAGAGGAGACCGTGGATCACATCGTCCAGCACACATCCTTCAAGGAGATGAAGAAGAATCCCATGACTAACTACACCACCATACCAACTGAGTTCATGGACCAAAACATTTCTCCCTTCATGAGGAAAGGTGGGTGCTGGCCAGGGTGGGTGGATGCAGAAGGGAGGGTGGAAGCAGCTGCCAGAGCCTGTCCTTAGCCACGTGGGGCCACCTGTGTTGGGGGGACTCAGCCCCTTTTTTCCCTCCCCAGGCATCGTGGGGGACTGGAAATCTGCCTTCACTGTGGCCCAGAATGAGCGCTTTGATGCCCACTATGCTAAGAAGATGGCAGGCTACAAGCTCAACTTCCGCTGGCAGCTCTGAGTTGTGTCATGGGGAGCCACTGCAGGGGGAGCACGGGCACAAGCCTGACCTATGACCTCAGGAATAAAATATGATGTGTCCAACAGGAGGCCACCTGACACTAACTAAATCCCACTGGGACCAAGTAGGGCCCTCTGCCCGGCAGGGTGCCAGGGCCATGTGCCCTTCCTGGGTGGGAAAGACGGTGTAGAGATGGAAGGCCCAGGAGACATTAGAGAAGAGAAAGGACATTGTGTCCTGTAAGATCCTCTGTTGCCTCCTCCCTCTAGTCTCCTAGCATGCTTCACTTTTGGGGGACTCTTTACAAGCCACCAGTTACCTCTGGGCCACATTGAGGGAGGGGGACAGCCATCTGCGTAGCGATGTCTTCAAACAGAATGGAGTTTTCATCCGAGACCTGCCTGTAGGATGCAGACAGGAGGCACTGGTCAGAGGCTTCCAGGAGAGGCCAGCCTCCTCTTGGCCTGGAGCCCTGGACCAGCAGGAACCTAAGAGTTCCAGGCACCTCCAGGCCTCACCTTCCCTCTGAAGTCAAGGGGTCCAGGTCCCCTTCCCACTCCCTGCTGCTCCAGAGCTGGTCCTCAGTGAAGGTGGCCTAGGGCAGAAGACCAAGCCCAGGGAGAGGAGGGTGAGACTCCGTCCCCAAAGGGTCATGCTAGAATGACAAGGGGTCTGTGGCCACTCAGGACCCCTGAGTTAAGAAGATAAAGCAACCCAGAGGGCAGCAGGCAGGTGTCCTGAAGGTCCGGGGGAAGAGCATTCAGCCTGCATCAGGTTACATGTGACCCGTTTCACATGGGTCAGCGTCAGCAAGAGGGGTGAAAGCGAGAGTCAGGAGGTCTGGGCACGGGCACCCAGCTTGCCCTAGTCTGACTGCCCAGATGAGGAAGGACAGGAGGGCAGAGTGGCCTGCTCCTGGGGGCAGGCTCAGGCTCAGGCTCAGGCTGGGCAGGAGGGATTCACAAGGTAGAGGCAGGTCCTTGAAGCTGTGAGGCCATGAGAGCAGAAAAGAGAAGGAATTGGAAGATGACCCCATGTCCTGTCTGGGGTCCTGAGTTGATGAAAGTCCTCTCCGTGGAAGCTGCCTTACCTGCTGTGGGATGTGTGGATCAGGACTGGGTGGAACAGGGGGTCTGGAGATACTGAGTCCACACCAGCTGCCCCTCTGGTAAGGCCTCCGGGTCCATCTCTGGGTTGGCTGTCCACTGGGTGTCTTGGATGATGCACCGGTGGCTTAAGGCAGCCCAGTGGATCACTTGCCAGGAGCCTGGCCACCCGTTCCCATCTTTGACTTCTTCATCAATGTCGTCTACCTCTTACCTGTGGGGGGAACGGAAGGAGAACACCGGGTGTAGCCAGGTGCCCACTGAGAGCCAGGGAGCCAGAAAGAGGAGGAGGGGGAGATGGAGAGTGGGAAAGTGGCCCGAGGAGCCCAGTGCCTCCCACACCTCCTGCCCAGGTGCCCTCGGGGAAGCTCTTCTCCCGCTGTGCACACAGGCTGAACAATGCCAGCGGAAGAGGGTGTGGTGAGCAAGGTTCAGCGGGTGGGTGTCCACTCACTTGTTGGTGGCATGGCTGTAACTGACCACCTCTGCCAGGATCCACTGCTCATCCCCACCCACAGCCTTGACCCGCGCGGCCACCTTGTCTCCAGGCTTGGCCACATAGTCCCCTGAGGCTGGAATGGCTCCACAGAGGGGTGGGGGCCTGTGAGTGGAAGGAGCATTAGTCTAGGACTGGACTCCAGACCCCCTGTTGGCTGCCACCCTCACTTGTCACCAGGCTTCCCGATCCACAGGGGCAGGATCATGGCCAACTGCTGCAGCAAGGTCCTCAGCAGCCCTTCTGCGCATAATCTTACAAGGTGACTCCGAGTCATTTTGGCCGCTGTGGGTCGGACGTGCACCCTTGAGGCCCCAGGGAGGTGCACCTTGCCTGAGACCGCAGCACCCTGCCCTGTGCTGTCAGAGGAGCTCAGCAGGGAGGCCCCAACTCCCCAGTTACCACCAAGGGTGCAGCCCCTTCCCTGCCCATCCACGAGATGTCCAAGTTGGGACCCTGACAAGATAAACTGCCAGGGTGATGAGGTGTGGGGACAGTGGTCACCTTTGAGGGGAGGAGCTAGAAAGTTTCCAAAGGGTGGTTTGGAGGCGCAGTCACCTCTGTCTCCTGACCTGGGTACCGTTGACCTGAGTGTGCTGGGTCATCTAAACCCGACAGGAGCCTTACCCTTCCGGGGCACTTTTGTACTCATCTATGTGGTAATTCACTCAAAAGTTGATAATCAATCATTCACTGTGGACCTTTGGCCTCTCAGGCATGGCTCCACGCACCCCTCAACTTCAAACAGAACCAAACTGGCAAGGAGACAAGACCAAGGGCCGAGGGGTCTGCCCACCATAGCAAGACAGGCAGGGAAGCCAGGGCAACATCGTCTGTGAGCCTGGAAGGCAGCACCTGGGTGGTAGCCACACATGGACCTTGCTACAGGATACAGGGTGGGGCCCTGCTAAGCCCCCAGGTACCCCCCACAGCAAGAAGCAGAGTGGGCGGTGGGAGGAAGGAGGGAGGCACAGGCCTTGGGTCACAGAAGAAGAGAGATCAAGGAGGTGAGGCCAGAATCACCTTTGTCTTGGGGAGAAGTAGGGAAATCCTGAGGACAATCATGGGCTGCAAAAGGTCATTCCCCACATTCATGGCCACATATCATGCACATGAGGGAGCCAGAAACCTCCCTTCGCCCAGTGATGCCACAGCCATTTCAACACCCTAGTGCAACACACTACACGTAAATAAACCTACTGTGTGGCCAATAGCATAAAAGTAGAGCATGTTCAATTATACCACACTTGATGACAGTAAGCAAGGGTGAAAATTTAGGTTTTTACGATACTTCACTTCTGATCATTAGAGTCTTTGGACCTTATAAAAAAATAAACTGGAAAGCAATGCGCCCTGTGACACCAGCTCATGTTTACTGCGTCTCTTGTTTCAATCGAGAGGCAAAATGGAGGAGGGTGCAGTGGTGAAGGCCTACAATCCCAGTGACTCAGGAGGCTGAGGGAGGAGGATTGCAAGTTCAAAACCAGATTCAGATCCTGAGTAACTTACTGAGAACCTGCTTCACAATAAAATATAAGAAAAGGGTGGATACAGTCGTCAAGCATCCCTGGGTTAAATTGCCAGTTTGAAAATAATAATAGTATTAATAAAAATAACAATAATAAAAGAGGCAACAGGAGAGTGACCTGTAGCATCCAGGTTTGTGTAAGTTCTCTGTCTGTTCTCACAACTACAAGACTGTCTAGTGATGCACACGTCAGAAGATTTAATGACCCATGACTCTCCAATTTGTCCTTTTTTTTGAAGTGCAAAGGACCAAAACCAGGCATTAATGCATGTTAGGACTGCAGATCCAAAGGACAAAAATAAAAATGGGAAAATTTTTTAAAAACAAAAAAAGAAACTTAAAACCAAAGTAACAGCCTGGCCTAGTTTAAGGATGAGCAAAGTGAGGCACAAGCAGGAGACAGGCTCCCAGAAGGGCAGATCCTAGGGTCATGGCCTAATTGTCCACTGTATTGTGCTGCTGCCTCTGGGGGTCCTGCCTGGGCCTGGCCTCTGGGAGAGAAGGACCTGGCGGGAATAGGCCCTGTGAAGAGGGGTCTTGGGAGTCAGTTTTGCCCCCAACTTAGGAGTGACCCCCTGAGCCGGGACAACACAGGGCTCTTTGAGATGGGTGTCTGGGCCACAGTAGGGGTTGCTGCATACTGTGCAGGGATGACCAAAGCCCCATTCCTTGCCCTTTCCTCATTACCTACCTGGATAGGTAATGCTGGGGAAGATGTACGAATCTCCCTGAATACCCATCTGGTCTCACTCTCTATGCCAGCCACATGAATGTAGGCAAGTCATATCTCCTCTATAAAACAGGGAAGGGTCCCCTCACCATTTGGTGAATACAGTGGTGGGTGCTGGGAGGCTGCAGGCTGGGCCTCTTAAAGGAGGGATGCTCCTTTTCTGCATTTCTCCTGCACTGTGGGGACATGGGCTCTTCCAGAATCCTCAGGAGTAGACTCATTAACTAGTTCTGCTGGTTCAGGGGAACTAAAGAGGTCAGAAAATGATCCCCGGGACCAGAAGGGTAAAGCTATAACCATCAAGACTCCCAGCTTCACCAGCCCATTCTATAGGATGGAAACAAGAGAGGGTAGTAGTGGTGGAGGTAATTCAGGGACTGAGAAGCTGGCATTTAAAATACAAGGAGAGCTGGGTCATCTTAGCAGATCTGGGAGAATGATGCAGGATGATCACAATTTCAAACCAGCCACAGCAACTTTATAAAAGTTTTCTCAAAATAAAAAATAAAACAGTCTGGGGATGTGGATCAGTGCTTAAGTGCCCTGGGTTCAATCCTCGTACTAAAAAGTAAATAAATGAAATACAGGGGAGTGCCAGGTATGGAGGTGAACACCTCTATTCCCAGCTACTCAGGAGGCTGAGAGGGGGAGGATCACGTGAGCTCCTGATGTGAGTCCAGTCTAGGGAGTTAAATACTGATATATATGTACCATCTGCTCCAGTTTTCTGCCTCCAATCAGTCTTATTTTCCTGCTCTAACCCTAATCCCTACCCCATGTTCTCACATCCCACTGGTACAGAGCTGGGGCCTTCTAAGAAACTGAGGAACTGTGAAGACCCTCTCCTCAAACCTGATTCTTGCCATCAAGTCAGAAGGTTTCAGACATGTCACTCAGAGTAACAGGAATGAGTTTATTGAAAGGGTAGGAAAAGGGAAAGGGGATACTCTCAAGAGAGAGAGTGGGTCTGCCCAGCAACCAGCACTGGCTTCATTAAAGAAGGTTCAAATCATGAGCAAAATGCTAGGGAGTTTTCAATTAAAGAGATAAGACTCTAATTACCTATAAAACCAGCTCCAGGATGGCTCCTCCTAGCTCCAGCCTCCATCCACCTAAGGTAGTAGTGAGGTTTACTGAAGAGGCTAGTGAGAGAGAAAGAACATGAGAGGGAGTGAACTTTTATTGGGAAACAAAAAATTCTGGGGAAAATCCCATCCAGTGAAGGTTAAGGGGGGGCAGCATCCCAAGGTCAGGGGCAACGATTGGGTCTTCGGGACAGTGGACAGACACGCCACTGCACATACAAGCCCTTGGACCTGGAGAAGGATGGGGAAAGCTCTGACACAGATGTGTCTAAGTGCCTCTCACCCAGCCAGGGAGGTAACTCAAATCACATGCGAGGATGGCCTCCCACAAGTGGTCCTCTCAGAGAGGAGGACAGCATGCCTCTCCTGCATTCCAGTTTCCTGGGGACCAAAGAGAAATTTCCAGAGTCCTGCCCATGTCCACCTCTTGACTTTTCCTGGAGAGCAGGGTGACTTCAGACTTTTAAGTCCCCATTATCATGGCAACACTAGGTCACCTTGGCCCATGCTGATGGGTTTTGTTTGGATTTTAAATTTTTTTGTTCTAATTAGTTATAAGACAGTGGAGTGCATTGTGACATACCATACATAAATGGAGTACAACTCCTCACTCTTCAAGTTGTACACAGTGTAGAATCACACTGGTCATGTATCATATATGCATATAGAATATCATGTCTGCTTCATTCTACTGTCATTTCTACTACCATAGCCCCTCCCTCCCTTCACTCCCTTCTGTCTAATCCAATGTGCTTCTATTTTTCCCCTGGCCCTGCCCCCTTATTTTTGAATTAGCATCCACATACCAGAGAAAACATTCAGCCTTTAGTTTTTTGGTATTTGGGGGGTTTGGCTTATTTGGCTTATCATGATATTTTCTAGTTCCAACCATTTACCTGAAAATTCCATCATTTCACTCTTCTTTAAGGCTAATATTCCATTGGGGATTATATATATATCTCACATTTTCTTTATCCATTCATCTGTTGAAAGGCATCTAGGTGGGTAGGTGGGTTCCATAGTTTGGCTATTGTGAATTGAACTGCTGTAAACATTGATGTGGCGGTGTCCCTGTAGTAAGCTAATTTCAAGTCCTTTGGGTATAAACCAAGGAGTGGAAAAGCTGGTCAAATGGTGGTTCCATTCCAAATTCTCTGAGGAATCTCCATACTGCTTTCCATAGTGGTTTCATCAATTTGCAATTCCACCAGCAATTATAAGTGTACCTTTTTCCCCCACATCCTTTCCAATATTTATAATTGCTTGTATTTTTGATAATTGCCATTGTGATTGAAGTAAGATGAAGTTTTAGAGTAGTTTTGATTTGCATTTTGCTAATTTCTAGAGATGTTGAACATTTTTTTCATGTTTGTTAATTGATTGTATTTCTTCTGTGAAGTGTCTGTTCGATTCCTTAGCTCATTTATTGATTGGGTTATTTGTTTTCTTGGTGTTGAGTTTTTTCAGTTCTTAAAGCTCTATCTGTGATGCATGTGGTAAAGATTTTTACCCATTCTGTAGGCTCTCATTTTCTTTGCTGAGAAGAAGCTTTTTAGTTTGAATCTATCCCACTTATTGATTCTGATTTTACTTCTTGTGCTTCAGGAGTCTTGTTAAGCAATTCAGTTCCTAACCCTACATAATGAAGATTTGGGCCTACTTTTTGATCTATTAGCTGCAAGGTCTCTCTTCTGTTCCTAAGTCTTTGATCCACTTTGAGTTGAGTTTTGTGCAGTGTGAGAGTTAGAAATTTATTTTCATTCTGCTACCTATGGATTACCAGATTTCCCAGCACCATTTTTTGAAGAAGCTATCTTTGCTACAATGAATGTTTTAAGTGCCTCTGTCTAAAATGAGATAATTGTATTTATGTGGGTTTGCCTCTGTGTCTTCTATTCTGTTTTGGTGCCCATACCATGCTGGTTTTGTTACTATGGCTCTGTAGTACAGTTTGAGGTGCAGTATTGTGATACCTACTGCTTCATTCTTCTTGCTAAAGATTGTTTTGACTACTCTGGGTCTCTTACTTCTCCAAATGAATTTCATGTTTGCTTGTTTTTTTACTTCTATTAAGAATATCATTTGGGGCTGGGATTGTGGCTCAGTGGTGGAGCGCTTGCCTAGCATGCATGAGGCACTGGGTTTGATCCCCAGTACTAAATTAAAAATACTAAATAAAGGTATTGTGGGTGCAACTACAACCAAAAACAATGTTTTTTTAAAAAGTATCATTTGCGGGGAGGGAAGATGGCGGCGAAGGGAGTGCATCACCCCCGTGTACCGCGTCACTGTGTGGGAGAATGACAAGCTAGAACAGCTAAAAGCTATCTTGTTAGGAATTTCCAGCAAAATTGGGGTGCTCCAAAACCTAGTGGAAGGATTTTCATCGCACAAGGATCAGCTATGGGGGCTCAAATGCGAGCGATTTGTCCGCACGGAGGGTCACGCTGCTTATTCAGCAAATCGCCCCGCGGCTACAATCTGCAGCGCGCTCTGAGAAACAACGAGATAGCAACGCAAAGATACAGCGTTGCGGATTCTGTGGGCTCCTGCCAGCTGTGC